CAGGCATGTCAGAGGCGTGGCTTCCCATCCAGCTGATAATGCTGACACAGTTTGGCCAGTTGTTACCAATCAGTAGAGATTGCATTGTGCAATTAAACTTACTTTGCGACATTCATTGCATTGAAATTACACTCATGTATTCATGTATGCATGTGTGAATTAATATACAATGTCATGAACAGCAGGGGCGTAGGAACAGGTCCGGCAGGTCCGGCGGCCGCCGGACCAATGTTTCGCCAAAAAAAGCCAAAAAAAAAGGAGCAGCAAACTCGTTTTCAACCATGCGGAGCACAACCCGCCAGGAAAGGCCCAATCACCTGATGTTCCTGAATGTCCACAAGAAACTGCTAGCATGCTGGACGGCTAGTGCCTGAAGAGTACCGCACGGGAATTTGTACGTGCACTTCAGGAGAGTATACTAGCATAACCTCAAGTCTTCCATGATACCACCATATTTGTCATGTCAATCCTTTTACAAGTAAAATAGCCCTCTTCACTCAGTAGAGACAGAGTCGAGCGGGCTGTATTCCCGGTGCCGAAAGGCGGGGTCACCACCCCTGTATGGCAACTTCCCCATGCCTAACCCAAGACGAAGTGAATACTGTAGTACATGTAGTCATACTGGGCGGAGTTAAATTTTAGAGAATCGCGACATGCACGCGCTAAAAATCCGCCGGACCATTGGAAATCTGCTTCCTACGCCCCTGATGAACAGTGCCAGGTCTTTAGCTCCACTGTGCACAAATGCAATGCACGTACACTGTTTTTATGGGTTTTTCGCCCTCCCTCATTGATTTCATCGAATAAGGTGACGCGAAACATAGAAAAAAATGTGCGGCCTAAAACTGGGGAGAAAAATCTGGGTACATGCACATGTATTATTGATCATACATACTTCCTCCGCGTCATTAAAATTAGGGGTGAAACGGTTACCCTTTAAGGTTACGAACGGGTACCTGGCTTAACGGGCGGGTTATCGGGTACCCTTTAGCAGCCAATAGTGACAGTTACTATACATTTTGTGCAAGGAGGACATGCAAAGTCATGCCATTCACAGCAAGTGCACTACAACGCGACAAGCGCAGCATGCGCACGTACTGCGCTACATTCAAAACAGTCAAAATTGTCTAATTTAGCAGGATCGAACAAGCAACAAGACATTCAATCTGTACATCAAATTGAACAACTGTGCAAATCAGCTAATATTACCGTACTGTACCGTCGTACACGACTAACGGGTACTCGTTTGCTAACGGGTCAGCAGCTAAACAAACGGGTACACGGGTACCCGGATCACCCCTTTCACCCCTAATTAAAATTGTCGCTTCGCACATCGCAATGTTTGTGACGTGGCTCGTCTTAGTCGAGACTGTCGGAATCGCTGTTTTCTGTGTTCGAACATTGGTGCGACCCTTCCTGCGCAATGTCTACTTGTTACTGAAGCCGTGGTGGTCTCGGACTTTGTTGGATCTCTCTTCCGCACCAAGCAAATTCATCGCGCTCCGCACTATTCCGCCCCAGAGCGCATATCGTTTTTCTGGAGTTCGTGCCGTCCCACATCGTTCGCGTGGGCATTTATCAAGACTGTAAGCTCGGGCATAAGAATCCTGGTATCTCTCCTGAATACGAAATGCTGAAGTTCACGATGGCAAGAACAAAGTGTTCTCAAATTCCTAAAATGCGCTACTTGTGGCTCGTGTTGCTGCGAAGGTAGCAGGTCTGAAAACACCAACAAAATCAGCGAAGAGCTTGCCAAGGAAAGAAGGTGCGGAACTGCTTACCCTATCCCGCTGGAAGGTCGTTACAGTGTACTTGAAAAATGCTAGCTTGCCTTCATCGTCTGCCACCTGGAGGCATGGATCGCTTGAAAACGAAGTAATAGTTTCTTGACCTGAATTTGAACGCGCGTCTTGTTCAGAGTATTGTTGAGTGCTGAAGGGTCTGCCTCAAACTCTGATGAAGACGTCGACCTTAGCTGCAAGTGCAGCGAAGCGGGAGGCCACAAACTAAAGCTTGGTCCGTCAACAATGCTCTGCCTCAATTTCTAGCTGATTTCTTTGCCCTTCAAGTGGGCAAAATAAATTCGAAAAGTCGCTCTGGGAAGCGACAATTTTAATGACGCGGAGGAAGTACATTTGTACAGGTGTACATGCACCCATAGTAGGCTATAGGCCATACATTGTACATTGATATCCTTGCATAATTATTCCCTGTAGTGGGCTCTGAAAACTTGTGAAAGGGCCAAATTCTGCTATTTCTGACCGGATTTGTCCAAAAATGCCCCGAGGGAATTTCCCCCGGAGCCCCCACAAACAAAACCAACTGCAGCGTGTTATGGTGCACTGTACTACGTTGTACTTTTCCCCCACTGACAGCCGTTGACGGGTTGCCGCTGGCCCTTTCCCAAAGGTGCTCGCCCTGTTTTTCGCCCTTTTTGGCCCAACCAGGCAGGCACAGTGGGTTGGTCAAAGACCATGATTGAGATACGAGAGGTACCTGGTTCAAGTCCTGCCTGGGAGCGGTTTTTCCAGCCGTGCTGCTACCCACAGTCAACTGGGAACTTGTGGCCAGGCACAAGGGGTACATGGATGCAACTAATGGGGTCTTTCTTGGCACTTGTGCCAGTGGTTGTGAGACTTATCCCCTCACCCCCACCGTTAGGCGCTGCATCTGCCGCTAGGGTTTACCGGGTGTTAGCGGCCGTCGTGAGTTCCCTTCGGGAACGGACACGATAATTTACTTTTTTTGGCCCTTTTTGGAAAAGCCCGTTTCTTTCGGCCTTTATTGCGGTTTTTTTGGTGAATATCGCCCTTTTTGAGCTTTTTTTAGCTCAAAAAGTGCTAAAATCTGTTTGCTCATGCATGCGATCACAGTTTCCGAGTGCTCGATGGGCCTTGGCACGCCACTTTTTTGGGGGCAACAAGTTGGTGAAGCGTGTACCCAATGCTGTAAAAAGTGGGGGTTTTGAACTTTACTTCCTGTTTTGCCTTTTGTGGACCCATATATGAAAGATTGCGTATTCATTTCTCAGCTTGGGTTCATATCTGAACATGTATCATGGCTATGCTTCACTGAAAAAAGAGCACGTTTTGCCTGTTTTCACTGAAAAAAGAGCACTTTTTCAGCATATTTTGAGGGCGCGAAAAGCACTAAGTGCGAATTAAAAGAGCACCTTTGGGAAAGGGCTAGTTGCCGCTCGTCGTTGTACGACCAGCTCCAGCTGCCCTTGGCCTACTGCTGCTGCTCATCTGTTTCGCAACGGCGAATGCCTTGAGGGTGACCAATTCCTCTTTTAGTCCTTTACCTCGGCAGATAACTCTGAAATTCTGCGGCTCATCCTCGCCGCACGGTCTGTGAATTCTGTGGCTAGGGCAGAGAGCGTTTGCATAGCTCCTAACAGCGAGTGCTCGATCCCTGGGAGGGAACAAAGCAGTTTCATCGGGGCTTCGCTTGAAAGCCCACCCATGGCGATGGCCTGCCCCCGGTGTTCTACTTAGACTACGACTACACTGCACAACTACTGCTTTCTACCTAAAAAAACACTATCTTCCTCCAGTCCGGCCTGATGCCGGCTGGGCTGAAAAGAAACAAAAATCTACGAGCTCGAAAATGCATGCCTGCCTCACTTCTCCTGGCGCATCAAGGTTTGCCAATGCATCTCAACCAATGATGTAGTCGTATGATCTCTATAGGAAACAATGAGCACATGATTGTAATGTTGTGGACATTGAAATCTGCTGAGAAGTCGAGCAGCCCTGGGCGCTGGCCTTGCAGCTGTGAGCATTGCTTTTGTAGTCCATTTTCAGGGCTCACCACGACCATACAAAATTCAAAAAGCGTCGACCACCATTTTGAAAACATGGCGATGCCGCCAATGCCAGAGTTTGTGCAGTCATAGCGGCTACGCACCCGAGTTCATGCTCATCGATGTACAGCGATGTACAGTCTAGTCGTAAAATACCGGTATTTTACGACTCCCTGGTCTACTCTGCACAGCGAAGGGCCAGTGCCGAAGCGAATCTTGTTGTTTGATGTCGGGAAAGACACGCGGAGAAGACGTCCTTTCTCCAAGCCATCTTGGTCATTTTTCTCAATCCGCTGGTGGGTGTCGACCAAGATATGTCCGTGAGGTACTGGTGAGCTTGAGTCCTGGCATCTACAAGAATTTGCCGCGCCTAGCTAACCAATGTTGTCAGTAGAACTCAGCGTTTCCTGATCGCGACTCGGCACACTCTTTTCTGTTTGGCCTCGGAGCTTTCACGCTGCGAGTGGAGAGTTTCCTGGCCACAAATGAATCCCTTAGTCATGACCATGATGAGAGGTGACTGGTATGATCCCTGACTGGCATGAGTCCTTAGCTTGAGTCAACACGAAGGTAAACTCTTCACTTGGAACGCTTGCTGTCTCCTCCGTCCTTTCTTGTTGCACTTGCAGATATGCGCACGGCTGCCAGTTTTTGTTGGTGCGCGCGGCGACGCACGGCCGACCTTGATGTCTTCAAAAAAGTAGAACAGCGGTTCTCCTTGGCCGATTCTCACTATCGATAGCTCATTTTCAAGGTTTTGGAATTCTCTATCGGTTTACCGTCCCCGATTTTTAATTTTCTCTTCATTCACTTGTTCGCACGCCTTTGCGTTTGAGTGATTTCACCATCCGATCTCAGCCAAACGAAGGCCAAATCGAAAAATTCGAGACGGTAACCCTCCAAAGACACACCTTCTGAACACGAATCCACAATGGCCTAATGTCTAAAACCAACGAATACAGCCAAGCTCCACTCAGAAAACACCCCACAATTGCAAGAAACAGCCCGTTTTGCCGTGCGCTGATTGGTCAAATCCAAATGACCGTTATTGACGCTTTGTATGGTCGTGGTGAGCCCTGATTTTTACAGTGTGTGCTTGAACTACAGTGCATGTGCACGCTAAGGCAGTATTGGCACGGGCCACTTTCATTCCACCGGATTTCAATGTCCACAACAGTCCAACAAACTAGCTAACCTTTCTTCAGGGCTAGGCTCTGTGTCTACACTTCCACGGTTACCAGTCCGACATCTGTGATGATTAGATCCAAGAAGCCCCGCCGGGCAAGCCCGAATTAATTCGCTGGGTTGTGGTTGCTATTGGCAGTAACTTACAATCTGTAGTGTGAACCTATTCCGTATACCACTGGATGCACAAAGGACACAACAGGAAACAAGAGCAAGTAACATAGTTGGCTGCCGGGTTTGCTAGGAACAAGATAATGGACCAACCCTAGTCGAACACAGTCAGCCGTACGGCCGTAGGAATAGGCCACCACGTACCTGTTGACTTTTGTAAACTCGGGACGAAACCTACTCGTAGCGTGCCTCCCAAACCATTCACCACCGATGAGGAGAGCGGCCACTGCTGGCTCTGAACGGCAAGCAGGAAACAGAAATGAAAGAACAATGCAATATTAGCACCAGCCTCTAGCTGAATATATCAACCAGAGGAAGTATGCACTCACCCTACCGACAAACTCAGATTATCTGCTAGTCTTCTCTAACCGTGCCGGTGTGAATCAAGGATCCAGCACTTGGCGGTAGTATGCGCTCACACGCTCTTTTTCTGAGCGAAAACGAGGAGCTCTGGTTTCTCGCCTTTCTTCACCAAGAAACCACTACTTTATGCTGTACACCCACACAGCGGCGCGTATTCATCTGCAGCTAGGTAGGTTGCTGAATTTCGTTGAAACTTGTCACACTTACTAGTTAGCTAACTCCGTGACGTCTGCCAGCTCCGGCTCCGCCTTGCGAGTTGCGTTGCCGAACCGATCATTTTGTCACCTACCCTTTCTGCTTATGCGGGGCAGAGTGCACAGTTGCTTTAGCTGATTTGGCCAAATCGCATGCGCACTAGCTCCTTCTTTGACAACCAGGAAAACGATTTTCCTGCTCGTGGTTTGTCTGGGGGTAGTAATGGCCGGTTGCCGATATTTCATTCGTCACCCGCCGTTTGTGCTTACATGTATGCGGCGCAGAAGGGACAGCCTTTTACCGATTTGGCCAAATCGCATGCGCACCCCTTCCTTCTTTGACAACCAGGAAAACTGGTCCGTCGATTTTCCTGCTCGCGGTTTGGTTCAGCGGGGTAACCAGAGTAACTGCATGTATGACCTGTTTTTTTTTGCTGTTGACGGGCACTTCCATTCTTCCAGTGATCCTTTATCGACGACAGGTGGATAGACAGCAACACAGACTCAGTGTACACTGACTGTACAGTCGACACCGATCCGACTGGTTTGCATAAAGCCATTGGCTTTTGGCAGGTGAACGATGGCTTCAGTCCAAGCTTGGCCTCTGAAGTCTGAAGAGGAAATAGAAACTTTTGGCCCCTTGGCTTGATCCATGCATCGGCTACATATAGCCGGGTGCGCATACGTGCAAGCAATGAATGGTGTAATGACTAAGTGTCTGCACGACGTCGTATAATACTATAATAGTTCATGCAGCTATAGCTACGTTTTCAGTTTATGCGATCGGCTCAGCGGAACTGTAAGAGTGAAGTCTACCGCCTTTCGAAAGGAGCTGTGAAGACCCGGGTCCGGACGGAGGTGTGAAGTCTATACGAGGGTCCGCACAGAGGTGTTTCATCATGATCGTAATCATCCTGCATGGCAGCCAAGATTACAGTATTGAAGTCAACGATGTCTACTCGACCATTGGGCAATTGAAAGAGAGCATTAAGACGAAGACAGGCATTGTTGTGGCAAGGCAAATACTGGAATGCATGAACGACAATGGTAAGTTGATCGAAATGCCTGACGAGCATGCGTTACACCGGTATGGAATTGAAGACGGTGATCGCATTTATCTGAGAGAGAAAGCCAGTGGCGAGACGTTTGAAGTTGTCCTGGTGGGCCCAGATGGGAGACGAAGGCCGATACACCTCTCGTTTGCTGACAAATCTGTGGCAGCGCTGCTGACACAAGCCTCTGGCTACTACAGTAACCTCTCTTCCATCAGTCTCAAGTTCGAAGGGACAGAATTGATCAGAGGGCGAACTTTGACTGACTCTGGTATCAAAAATGGCTCTGACGTCTCCATTACTGGAATATTGCCAGGTGGTGGCATCTCCTTCCCGCGGGCTCTATGAGGAACTCGAGCCAGCCTCCAGCTAAGTGCAAGACTCCGAGTTCTCATCAACGTCACGCCTTCTACGGCTATCATGCCTGGCAGGCTGCGCCTAGTTGTGCCATACATGTACGTAGTTATTATAATTATTATCGGATCGTTGTCAGTTCCCTAATCATTCCGCCAGCATTATGTTTTTGTTTTGTATTTTTACCATGATGTAATGCATACCCGATGATGTAATGCATACCCGGTGTCAGTGCATCGTGCTCGTCACAATGAATACTCCTTCGATCTGTTTGTTGTGCTCTTTCAAGTTCGTGTTGATTCAGATCAGCTTGTTACTTGACCGCATGCTTTAACATCGCAAGCCTGCTTCCTTCAGGCACAGTGGGTTGGTCAAAGATCATGATAGGTACCTGGTTCAAGTCCTGTCTGGGAGCGGTTTTTCCAGCCGTGCTGCTACCCACAGTCAACTGGTAACTTGTGGCCAAGCACAAGGGATACATGATAGATGCGGCTAATTGGGTTTCTCGCACTTGTGCCAGTGGTTGTGACTTGTGAGACATATCCACTCACCCCCACGGTCAGGCGCTGCATCTGCCGCTAGGGTTTACCGGGTGTTAGCGGCCGTCGTGAGTTCCCTTCGGGAACGGACACGATAATTTACTTACTTTAGTCTCCTTCCTTCACGAGGCACTTTGGCCCATTCAAGTACTAGTAGGTTATGCCGGTTCACTAAAAGTCTGCTATTCCAATTACACGTACTCCCCCGTTTCCAATAGATGGAGTGACCCGTAGTATCCTATGCCTTGCCCCAATGCGAAGCCACTCTTTCATTTTTCTCCTCTCTATGTGATTGTCCGTGTGAATCTGGTCTCGTCTTTCTTCTTTGATGATGGTGATAGGTCAATGCTAAACAACGTTGAATATTATATAAACAAAAACCAGGACTTTTCATTGAATAGCATACAGCGAGTTAGCCAAGGAAGGCAAACTGTTGTACTACCGTTATACTTATAAGACATTAGATAGCTACGAAATCATGATTCATTGAACACACCATGTGCATGTGGTAGGTAGGATTTGAGGCTCACGTATACTAGTACGCGTAGCGCACTGACATGACAGTCATGATGCCACCAATAAAGATAAGTCAGGCCAAACTAAAGAAGGTGTGTGGTTCGACTAACATGGACATTTTTTTTACGGGCGGGCGGGCGGATTTTTTTTTTTAATATATTTTTTAGTACATGTAAATACACTGTATACGCGTATCGAGTAGACTCTACTACCAGCACAAGGCAGCAGTCGTACCACTCACTGCACTGCACTGCAGTACAACTACAAGTCAAGTCCAAAAGGAGCCGCCTAGCGCCTGCGTCCGCAGACTCACGCCGCACAGCACGTAGACGTGGACGTGTTCAGTCCACGTACGTCAGTCACACGACAGCCCGCCGAAAAAAAGTTACGGTCGGGCTGAAATTGTACGGTCGGTCGGGTGAGTCGAACCACACACCTTCTTTAGTTTGGCCTCACTAAAAATCTGTGGTGGCATGGTAGTAGATCTACATCTCAAAGATACGAAGGATACTTGATAGTGATTGATACAGTCATAATCATTGTACTCCATGACACAAACGCCATTGTCGGATATGGACACACTCATGGACTGGTACAGTCAGACTCATAATACAGTCGTGTAGGTTAGCTCAGGAGTGTCAGGAGCGAAAACGTCAGGCGCTGGACTCTCCGAGGATTCATTCATTCCTACATCGTGCGCGTCGAAGAGCTGAGAAAAAGCAGAGACTAGGAGGGTGAGAGTAAGGTTACGTGGTGGAGTGAGAGTGAGAGACAAGAACGAGAAGAAGCCACAAGAAAAATTCCCATGGTTACGTTCTTTGCCCGTCGTGGGTGCGGGGTATCTTCACCTAACGATGGCCTTGCCGAACCAGCAAACCAACAGCCTGTGGCGGTAGTTGTGCAACAGGATGGACGGATTGCAGATGTGGCACTGGGTGACGATGCATGGAAGATAAGAGAGGAGGCGAAATACCATCAGGACAGTGTCCTAGTGGAAGGGGAGCTCCTTGTACCGGGATTCGTGGACATCCACACCCACGGCCTCGGTGAGTGCTAGCTACAAGTACCATGTATGTTTTTGTCCTGTACTAGTGACTCGTGATAATCATGGCCGGCGCTAAGACTCGAGAGGCGATTGGGCCCGCGCCATAGCGCTAGCTACCATTCCCAAGTACTTCACAAGGTGATTAGAGAGGTTTGGCTTCGCGACTGTCTTTGGAAAATTCGTAACGACTGCAAGAAATACGCAGAGGCGAATTTTTGCTTCAGCAGTGGAGTGACATGGCAGAGAAGTTCATTGTTGAGCAAAGGATTTGTTGAAGAGGGCCTTCACAAGCAGGTTTCCCATCGTTGCGCGAAATCGAGCATTTATGAACAACATCCACAGAACCTGCTGGGACCATGGTTGTGTCCTCGAGTCTCATCCTGAGAACGTTTTTTTACCTTATCTTCAGCCGTGTTTGTTTCATTGCAAAACAATCCTTGATTTTTATGATCGTTCCGAGGAAAGTGGACAATCAACCAGTAGGGCAGAGGACAAAGGAGTCGAGTTGGAGCTCTTGCGTGACTGTGTGTACAGGACAACCATACACACAAATAGATCAACGGACAGCCATACTGAGTGCTGCGGTAATCGTCAGGTAAACTATTGCATGCCCTCCACGATTAATGATGGCGGTTGAGCTAGAAAAAAGAACTCCGACAGAGGAAAGAAAGCAGTTCATAACAGACATACAGTAAAGCCTGGTTTAAGCGACCACCCCACGGTGCAAGCAAAAGCAGTCGTTAAAGCCAGGTGGTCTTTAGAATTATCAGGTCCCATACATTCATTTTTCTCAAGGTTTGGAGACTCCACTGTAGCCAATACTTGAATCCATACATCCTGTACACACACCTTGTACACACTCTCTCTAACGGTCTCTAGGCTACACTGCAATTGATATACATTAGATCAAATTTTCGGGCAAGGCCCATCATCAGGATGATGGGCCTTGCCCGAAAATTTGATCTAATGTATATCAATTGCAGTGTAGCCTAGAGACCGTTAGAGAGAGTGTGTACAAGGTGTGTGTACAGGATGTATGGATTCCATACATTCATTGTACATGTTATTGTATATCGGATTATGCATACATGTGCATGATTGTACTTCCATGGACTCGTATTGACAGGTGTGGAGCATAGAATACTCTCGTGCAGGCAAAGCACACCTCACTGGAGTGCATGCAGCGCATTCTGCACTGTCACTTGTCACTTCAGTTGACTGCATCCACTTGCTTCAGAGCACACTTCAACCCTTTTGCAGTCAACTCTGCCAGCCAGGCAGGTGGTCGCTGTATCCGGTGCACTTTCTGTATAGAACTGTCCGTGCATGGAAAAACGACCGTTAGTTAAGAGCAGGTGGTCGCTAAAGACAGAGGTCGCTAAAGACAGAGGTCGCTAAAGACAGAGGTCGCTAGAGACAGAGGTCGCTAGAGACAGAGGTCGCTAGAGACAGAGGTCGCTAGAGACAGAGGTCGCTAGACGGACAGAGGTCGCTAGAGACAGAGGTCGCTAGACGGACAGAGGTCGCTTACACCAGGTTTTACTGTACTGCTATTCAGTTGGAACGGTTCACCTAGGGCAAGTCATTGCTTTTCATCTCGAAACATTTGATTCCACTGCACTGTATATATCTGCATACAGGTGGAACAGCTGATGCTGTGGATTACTGGACAGTGCCTGGTAAGCGTTAGCTTGCAACAGTTCTATTGTTATCCTGTGGAATTCATCTGAACATATGTTTGAAGTACTGTGTGTTCTGCACAGTCCAGGGGAAAAGGCATTTTACAAATGGCGGAGTGGATTTGAGAGTTCTCGATGTAATCCAAACAGAAAATTACATCAGAAGAAGACCTTCTTGGAACCTCCTGACTTATCTGGCAATGTGACTCGTGCACACACAATGACCACTGAGTTCAATCTCTTCATACCTTGACCATGCTTTACTCTAGCCCAGACTCCAGACCAATGAAGCTGCTATGAAGCAGTAGCCGCTATGAAGCAGTAGCCGCTATGAAGCAGTAGCCACTATGAAGCAGTAGCCGCTATGAAGCAGTAGCCGCTATGAAGCAGTAGCCACTATGAAGCAGTAGCCGCTATGAAGCAGTAGCCGCTATGAAGCAGTAGCTGCTATGAAGCAGTAGCCGCTATGAAGCAGTAGCCGCTATGAAGCAGTAGCCGCTATGAAGCAGTAGCCGCTATGAAGCAGTAGCCGCTATGAAGCAGTAGCCGCTATGAAGCAGTAGCCGCTATGAAGCAGTAGCCGCTATGAAGCAGTAGCCGCTATGAAGCAGTAGCCGCTATGAAGCAGTAGCCGCTATGAAGCAGTAGCCGCTATGAATCAGTAGCCGCTATGAAGCAGTAGCCGCTATGAAGCAGCATGAGTTATTGTAAACTACAGTAAAACCTGTGACTAACGACCACCCCTTGGCCTTGGGGCCGGAGAAACCGGTCTTTAGTGGCAGGTGGTCCTTAGTTAGAGGTTTGCACCACACAACCATGTGTGAATGTGATCAGTGAGACTGTCCGTGCCTGGCGAAGCGGTCTGTAGTACCAGGCTGGTCGCTAGTCACGGTGCTCTTTAGTTACAGGTTATACTGTATTGCTCTTCAGAGCAGGACAAAGGCATGGCGATGATGTGGACGCGATTGGTTCGTAATTCAGCCGCGTTTTTGGAAGTAAAACAGAGGAAAACGTGTAGAAAGAGTTGAGACTAAGTCTCATTATCGTATACTAGCACTCGGCACTCACGCTGTTGTCAAGAGTAATTGTGCGGACTCAACAGCACGGCTATTGCTCCATACTGATTTGGATATGTTTTACTCCAACTCAGCACATACATTAGCTATTTCAGCTGCAGGAAGCCTCACCACTGCTACTATTACAGCAGCTGTTGCTACTGTCCGCGAATAGGGGAATTGTTCGTTTTTCTTGTGCTTCTATGGTGAAACAGGTTTCACCCAAAAGCACTTGGCGTCAATGGGCACAACTTCATTCTTGGCAAGTGTGGTGTTTCAGAAGGACCAATCACATATGGCGACAGTTCTCAAACATCTTTTGCCACGCATTGGGGAACAAGGCCATGGTGCAATTCTCGAAGGGATCCATGCGGAAGTAGGTCATTACTCAACAATTGAATTGATCAAGTATTGCTAGCACGTTGAGCTTGTCAGTATATGCATTGAGGATATATTTCCAAGTATTGAAGCTCTAACCAATTCTCTATTGGCAGACACCGGAGGATACACCACCCAGTGGCACCCTCCCTGCCTATTGGCAGACATAATTATTGACAGTGAACTACTCATATTCCTTGCACTGAGTTTGGCAAGAATACAGAGGCTCTGTGAATATTGGGTGCAATCAATTTATGAGTCCGATGACTTTTTTCCCGGAAGTAGTACATAAAAGGTAGTCAGCAGCTTTCGGTCTTTCTATTTAAAATATATACAAAGGCACACAATGAAAACCTTGGGCAAATTCCGTTGTGTTGTCGTTGTCTGATGATTGGTTCAGACATGAAACTCTGAGTTACACCGGAATTTGCCCAAGGTTTTCATTGTGTGCCTTTGTGTATGCCGCTCTGCCTGAATCAGGTATTGAGCACTTTCGCAGAACCTAAGCATACTGCCCCTGTATATAAAATACCGGTATATGCAATGCTAGCTACCAACTCCCCACCACAACCGTCTGTGAGGAGCTCTCTGAAGCAATCAGTATCTGAACTCTTTACTGGAGTCGCTTTGTTCCTAATTTGGTGAACGAGATCGGCCAGAGAGCACATGCAGTCAAGTGGAGTTTGAAGTAATGGGCAGGAAACAGTATGGCGGAATTTCATTCCCTGCGTACCACTGCTATTTTTTATTATCTTGTAGGGCCCCTGTGTTCATGACCTGGGGGCTATGCCTGACCGAGGTGAAGTGCCATCCCCAGAGTGGCTACGCGAGTGGATAGACAACCTACCACCTGGTGTGCTGAAGATGATGACGATCAGTCCACGCGTGGAGGCTGCTGTTGGCTATGCAAGGCTAAAATGCTTACTTGAAAAGTGAGTTGTATATTCATGGCATATTCTAGGCATATTCTCGGCAAAAAAAATCACGAAGGACAGCAGTGAGCCATTACCTCAACGTATTCACGGTTCATTGTCCATTCGCGAAGCTTTGAACCTCTGAAGTTTGCTATACTAAATCCCAAGCTATATGAACTAAGAATGCAGACTCACGAAGGACAGCAGTGAGCCATTACCTCAACGTATTCACGGTTCATTGTCCATTCGCGAAGCTTTGAACCTCTGAAGTTTGCTATACTAAATCCCAAGCTATATGAACTAAGAATGCAGTGACTCAGTCTGGCAGTAATACATGCGGCAAAGAGAATGACTCTACTGCGTGGAGTCATTCAGCACGAAACATGAGCTCCACGTTGGAGTAATCAATTTTTTGTCAACCAGAGGCAATTTCAAAACATCCAGATTCTCTGTACAACCCTCTGGGAATGGGTTTAGATTCAGTCTTCCAGTAGAGTACTCGTATGCCATAAGGAAGGTGGGATTTCAGTCAGTTTGATAAATCTTTTCTAAGCTTATCGATACTGTATATGTGGGGTTTAGGCCCTGAATCCAAAAACTAAATCAAACTGGATTTGAGCCTTAATTTAGCCTAAATTAAATGTTGCAAGCTCAGAGGTCAGTATTTTATAATTTTTATTACTGTCGTCCCAACACTATGATTGTGGTATGAGTATTGGGTTAGCTGTGTGGTGTACCGGCATGGTAACCTAATCATAGACCTTGCCTGAATCAAGCTCAGAGCTGTACCAAGGCATTTCAAAATGCAGGACTCTCAATGTCTGGGTGACTCTCTGCTTTGCTTGATTTAGTCGAGCCCCAGAATTTCGGGTGCTCAGGTTTAGGTTGCTGCCGAAAGTCGAAAGTTATCATAAAATCTGCTAAATTAAAGCCAAGATAACCTGAAACCTATGCCAGTTTGTGGTCTGTTCTACTTTGCAGACGATGTTGTTTGGTCGAGGCCGCAATAAAACGAGAGAGCTTGGAAGCTCAGGGCCCTACGCTATGCTTTTTTTCCTTGATGACCTTGACAAAAAAAAGCATAGGGATGTTATAAATTCTTTAAAAAATTCCTTTTTTTAAGACATAACCTGGGATTCGAACCCGCACTCTCGCGCCCTGCATGCACCCCCCGATACACTGCGCATACATACTAATTCTTCCAGGTTGCTTCACATTATGATCTTGCATTTGAAAGCCCTATTTGAATATGCATTGTGGCCAGCCGTCTTTGAATGTACGGTACGGTAGGGATAGGTACGGGACAGGTACGATCGAGGGTAATACGACACCGTCTCCCGTGCCGTACCATCAAACACAGCTGGCCACATACAGCTGCCCGCAATATTCAATTAGGGCTTTCAAACGCAAGATCATAACGTGAAGCAACTTGGAAGAATGGGTATGAATTCGAAGTGTGTGGGGGAATGCATGTAGGGCGATAGTGTGGGTTCGAATCCCAGGATATGCCTGAAAAAAATAGGAGAATTGAAAAATTTATAACATCCCTATGATTTTTTGCCGTCAGAAACGGGATAGCGCCAGGCGTGACACAAACAAACAAACAAACAAACACACAAACAAACAAACAAATACCAAATTAAAGCTGCGTGGACCCTGGCTAGCGCCAGACGTTACTGAAGTAACGTCTTCTGCATAGCTACGGGAATAAAACATAATGTGGAGTTAGCTCATAGAAATGAGAATGCACCTGCCCCCTATCTGGCTATGGACACTTAGTTTAATTGCGCACTAGAAAGTGTGTGCAAGTGCGGTCACATACTGAACAGGATTTTTCAGGACTGTTTTTGAATGTCCTGTCTGCATGTGCACACTATTATGTGCTTTATGTAGAAGCAAGAATATTTTGTTCTTTCCTTTTTTCTTCTTTTTCCTTCTCTTGCCATGGCTGGCTAACGCCCCCTCCTTTGCATTGGCTTCTGTTGTATTTTCCAGCTCTGTTCTTCCAGCTTTGGGTCATGATCGAGTTGCCAGTGAAGATGACATACTTGGAGCATTGAAATGCTGTCCAGAACGACGCTTGCACATAACACATCTTTACAACGTCTCCAACTTTCATCACAGGTGAGAGCAAAAGGACTAGTGATCAGTTCACAATGGATAAAAAAAGTACTGATTAAAGTTGACCCAGGCATTCTATTCGTTGTACGCACTCTTCAAGCATCAATCTACCTCACTCCTGCCTAGAGTAGCGCTGTGCAATACCCATGTGAAGCCAGTACTTCTATACAACTGTACGACATGGGGCCTCACAGATGCTATCATCCGAGGGATCGACACCTTTCATCGGAGGCATCTGAGAGTAATGGCTGACGTTAAGTTCCCCAACACAATCAGCAACAAGCACCTGTACGGCATCTGCAACTCGGCTCTGATTTCGCATGAGATTGGCCAACGACGTTGGCAGTTCCTCGGTCCTGTACTGAGAATGCAGAAGAACTCTCCCCCACGGTGTGTGTTGGAGTTTTCAGCCACGGCGAGCCTGTGCGGTCGACTGGGCCGACCGAGGAAGACCCGTCTATCAGCTCTATACCAGGATTGCCTGGCCAGACTCGGCATTCGCCTGGGCACGCTAACACGCCTCAATCAGCTGTGGCAGTTGGCAAGGGATAAGTCGCGGTGGAATTAATGGCACCCGGCGGCATTCATCTTCATCTGCCGAGCCGCGTCCTTGACTTATCCCCTGCAGAGTGAACATCAGTATCTACCTGTCTACCATCTTTCTGACATTGCCACTTGCACTTGACAATAGAAGCTTTCCATATGTGCAGTTACTTTGAGCCATGGCGTTTTTGTTTTTTGCTTTTTTGTTTTTGTTTTGTGAATCCTTCCCAGAAGCAAATGCTGGTTTTTATACATCGTGTAATTGCTCACCATTATTTGCAATAATAATAATATTAAAACGAACTTAGAAGACAAGAAGCGTGTGTTCCTAGTTGGAACAATCAACTTTTAAATAATATTAAAGTTGACACTTTGGTTGATTTGGTATCTTGTAACGGCTGGGTTTTGCTGATAAACTGATCAAGGCTAGGATCGAAATGCAAGGCTGATAATAAAAAAATGTATGATCTTTCGATGAAGTGTGATGTTTCAGCTCTTTCTGAGTGCCTGTTGTGACTTCGTCCAAGCAGCCAACCTAAGTTCCAAGAACTGTACAAATGTTTGGGCGGCAATGGTTTTGTCACTGTCTATTCATGCCGCATGGTGCAAGCATAGTCACTCATGCCATAATAGGCGAGATGCGTGGGAAGTCTGGGTACAGTCAACTTTGCCAATAACGACACTCGGCGGGGCGTCAGAAAAGTGTCCTTATTCGCAAAGTGTCCTACAGTGCATTTCAAAACTATAGACGCGTAGGGTTTTTGAAATATTTCAAATTTGGCTGGAACTTTTTGAGAATAGTTTTCGGTATATTGCTCAGGATCGCTCCACAATTACTCTCATATAGTTTCTAAAGGATTGGATAACAGACGCCCAATTTGGAAAAATTTATGCACAAAGTGATCACAGATTTTATGTGGTATAGATGCTGGCATAACGGTTTTTGCCTAGGTACGCGTCTATAGTTTTGAAATGGACTGTAATACCTGAAGTCCCATTTGAATGTATGTGAACCCATAATTTTGTATAATATGATATGCATATCAAAATGAAGCTCTTTTCATGCTCTTTGTCAATGTGTACTTTACTTTCATTATTACAATTGAAAGGAACTATAAAGTCAATATGGAAGGGAAATAGACTGAAAAATTAACCTTTGGAGCAATCTACAGGGACATGTACATGTATGATTACTGTACAATCATGTACAACTACATGTTGTTGTGCTGATCACTCCAACTATTTAGAAGCAAAAAAAATTAATAATAATAAAAAGCCCCCCCCCCCCCGTCATTGTATCCGAAGTTAAATGTATACAGTTATTGGGACTTGCTCTGGGCATGGGAATTCTGTCGGTATTCGCGAATTCTCGTTATATCCGCAGCCATTATTAGCGAAGTTGACTGTAGATGAAAAACCCATCGGAGTGAACTTGAGCAGCAGCTGAGGTCATGGGAATGGAGATTCTCCTGGCATTCCCCAGAATTATGGGATGCAGTCACCCACTTTATGTGAATCTGAGAATCTTATTGCTATAACCAACACCTGGCTTATTGCTATAACCAACACCTGGCTTATTGCTAACCAACACCTGGCTTCCAATACAAACACGGGTACTTGAGATGTTGAGATTTCACAAAGACTAATGTTGCTGGTTTGTTGATCGGCTTCCAGACTCAGCACTGTTCTCCAGGCGTTCCACGCGCTCGAGGAGAGGGTGGAGGGCATTCATCACGGCCGAGGAAATGATGTCCGGGGAGAGCAACGAGGGCTCATCCTGCATAGAAGCGTCGGTGCCCGGAGCGGGGTGAGAACTAGCTGCTGACGATGTGTCGGAGGTATCAGGCGCGAAGGCGCGCATGCCGTCAGTCCGCGCGTATGGCGAGGTCGAAGCCCTACCCGAGCGGCGGGTAGCCTCGACGGCATACCCGCGTCCGCGTCTGCTTCCTCGTACAGAGCCTCGTGGCATGGTGAAAGAGAGAGAGAAACTGTGAAATCTTTGAAGAGAGTCACCAGTCAGCCTTGCAAATCTGAGCAGGAAGCAAACTGTGAAGTGTCCGGTGCGGCGCATGCGCCTTCTGTGTTAACTTATTTTTGGGCGCTCACAAAAATTCATTTAATGTTGTTGGTTTATGCTGCACAGACTTCCTAGTTTGGTGAACTTTGGCCTTGTGGAGAGATTTCCTGACTTGCCACAGTACAGCGGTCTCTCGCCTCCCACTGTAGAGCTGATTGGTGATCTTGCCCATGTGTAAGTATCAGGACATAATTATATACTGCCCAAGCAACCAACTCTCAGTGTCTGTCTGTGTTTCTCTTTCACTTTCAATCTATCTACTTCAAAAGTATCTATCCCACACTGTAGAGAGAGAGAGAGAGAGAGAGAGAGAGAGAGAGAGAGAGAGAGAGAGAGAGAGAGAGAGAGAGAGAGAGAGAGAGAGAGAGAGAGAGAGAGAGAGAGAGAGAGAGAGAGAGAGAGAGAGAGAGAGAGAGAGAGAGAGAGAGAGAGAGAGAGAGAGAGAGAGAGAGAGAGAGAGAGAGAGGGGGGAGGGAGGGAGGGAGACAGAGACAGACAGACAGAGACGGATAGAGAGAAACAGACAGATACCGTGCAGAGACAGAGACGGATAGAGAGAAACAGACAGAGACCGTGCAGAGAAACAGAGACAGAGACAGAAATAGAGACGGAGACACACAGAGAGACAGACAGATGGAGAGAGATATAATTATTCGGGGATCTATGTCGTATACGGTTTCGGCAGTGGAGCGTGTTGTACGTATGACGTACGATGACGTTGTCTTGTTTTTTATTTCTCCGCAGACACCCACTGACAGTCAAGTGCACATTATCAGCACGGCATCCCAGCAACATAGCCTTCATTAGTGATGCAATTGCTCTTCCTGAGGCCAATCGCAGAACAGCATACGCTGGACGACACTGTGAGTCTCACTGTCTATTTCACTGGCGGCTAGAGTAGGACACTACATTACTGTCAGGCGCCAAAGAACGTACAGGCTAGAATTTCCGTGACCAAGCATAGCATACCGATGCAAGTATATGCACGGCGACTCTACTGGGCATATCGGTAGGATGTTCTAGATGAACATAGGAATGGTCTGGGCTACAAGGCTGACGCTCCCGTTCTCTAGATGAACATAGGAATGGTCTGGGCTACAAGGCTGACGCTCCCGTTCTCTAGATGAACATAGGAATGGTCTGGGCTACAAGGCTGACGCTCCCGTTCTCTAGATGAACATAGGAATGGTCTGGGCTACAAGGCTGACGCTCCCGTTCTCTAGATGAACATAGGAATGGTCTGGGCTACAAGGCTGACGCTCCCGTTCTCTAGATGAACATAGGAATGGTCTGGGCTACAAGGCTGACGCTCCCGTTCTCTAGATGAACATAGGAATGGTCTGGGCTACAAGGCTGACACACCCGTTCTCTAGATGAACATAGGAATGGTCTGGGCTACAAGGCTGACACACCCGTTCTCTAGATGAACATAGGAATGGTCTGGGCTACAAGGCTGACGCTCCCGTTCTCTAGATGAACATAGGAATGGTCTGGGCTACAAGGCTGACACACCCGTTCTCTAGATGAACATAGGAATGGTCTGGGCTACAAGGCTGACACACCCGTTCTCTAGATGAACATAGGAATGGTCTGGGCTACAAGGCTGACGCTCCCGTTCTCTAGGTGAACATAGGAATGGTCTGGGCTACAAGGCTGACGCTCCCGTTCTCTAGATGAACATAGGAATGGTCTGGGCTACAAGGCTGACGCTCCCGTTCTCTAGATGAACATAGGAATGGTCTGGGCTACAAGGCTGACGCTCCCGTTCTCTAGATGAACATAGGAATGGTCTGGGCTACAAGGCTGACGCTCCCGTTCTCTAGATGAACATAGGAATGGTCTGGGCTACAAGGCTGACGCTCCCGTTCTCTAGATGAACATAGGAATGGTCTGGGCTACAAGGCTGACGCTCCCGTTCTCTAGATGAACATACTTCCTCCGTTAACAAAAACTTCGTGATGGAATTTTGAGGGGCTGATTTGGGCACAAACTGCCGTGAAATGAGTCGCAATCACTTTCTTGGCCTTCCCTGGCATGCCATGACAGAGGTACGATGCAAGGAAAGCGACCTTTCACAACAAGCCGAGCGGAATCGATGGTTGCGCTGTGGAAACATAGGTGATGACAGTCATGGCGAGCGAAACTGAAATACCACTTCTCCGAGGGGATATTGCGTTGCTTGGCCTCTCTGTCACTTTAGCACTGAGTAAGTTGGAGAGTGATCGAGAGCGATGAAACGGAGCAGCGAGCCCACACAATGAGCGAGTGAACAAGGAGCTGCTCCGATCGTACAGCTCAATGAAAACAAATCTGAACTCAAGATCTTGTTCAACCTGCGCAAAGTCCAGATTCGAATGCTCATGACCATGCATTCTTTCAGAAGTCCGCTGTCCGATGCGAGTCTCGTGGCTAAAGAAAGTCGACTGGACTTGCTAGCCGCTGCCGTTCTGTGCTGGCAGGGGAATCCATTAGAGAAAATGGAATCAGTTTGGCTGTGCCTTTACTCCTCGTTTCGCGGAGTTCGGACAGCGAAGATGAAACCAAGGAGTCGTAAAATATTTTTCACGACTCCCTGGTGGAAACGAGTAATCGCCATTGCGGCGAATCACGCAGCTTGAAAGCCAACTTATTTGAACGACGGCGACATCAAGGTCAGCGGATTGTGATCAAAGAAGCCGAGGCAAGGCTGAACCGAGCTGAACAACGACTCGAGAGAGATGACGACTCGCGTACAGCAGATGATGACTCGCGTGCAGCAGATGACGACAGCGACGCAGGTCAAAAATGAATCGAGCGAAAGCGACGCAAACTGAACTATCTGCTCATTCCGCCAACAGTTTCTCTTGTAAAGACGCTGTACATAGGCTGAATCACCTTCGTCCAGTGATTTGCAGTCGATACAAACTGTTCTTGATCTGTTCTAAGCGTTTTCATATCCATCAAAATCCATCACGAAGTTTTTGTTAACGGAGGAAGTAGGAATGGTCTGGGCTACAAGGCTGACGCTCCCGTTCTCTAGATGAACATAGGAATGGTCTGGGCTACAAGGCTGACGCTCCCGTTCTCTAGATGAACATAGGAATGGTCTGGGCTACAAGGCTGACGCTCCCGTTCTCTAGATGAACATAGGAATGGTCTGGGCTACAAGGCTGACGCTCCCGTTCTCTAGATGAACATAGGAATGGTCTGGGCTACAAGGCTGACGCTCCCGTTCTCTAGATGAACATAGGAATGGTCTGGGCTACAAGGCTGACGCTCCCGTTCTCTAGATGAACATAGGAATGGTCTGGGCTACAAGGCTGACGCTCCCGTTCTCTAGATGAACATAGGAATGGTCTGGGCTACAAGGCTGACGCTCCCGTTCTCTAGATGAACATAGGAATGGTCTGGGCTACAAGGCTGACGCTCCCGTTCTCTAGATGAACATAGGAATGGTCTGGGCTACAAGGCTGACGCTCCCGTTCTCTAGATGAACATAGGAATGGTCTGGGCTACAAGGCTGACGCTCCCGTTCTCTAGATGAACATAGGAATGGTCTGGGCTACAAGGCTGACGCTCCCGTTCTCTAGATGAACATAGTAATGGTCTGGGCTACAAGGCTGACGCTCCCGTTCTCTAGATGAACATAGGAATGGTCTGGGCTACAAGGGTGACGCTCCCGTTCTCTAGATGAACATAGGAATGGTCTGGGCTACAAGGCTGACGCTCCCGTTCTCTAGATGAACATAGGAATGGTCTGGGCTACAAGGCTGACGCTCCCGTTCTCTAGATGAACATAGGAATGGTCTGGGCTACAAGGCTGACGCTCCCGTTCTCTGGCAGCCGGCAGTACTGTATAGTGGTTCTCACTGAGATCCAGTCGGTCAGTCGGTCGGTCGGTCGGTCGGTCGGTCGGTCGGTCGGTCGGTCGGTCGGTCGGTCGGTCGGTCGGTCAGTCAGTCAGTACTGAGTAGCACAAATAAGTCGCATTCCTGCACCAGTGCAGAGCCCAGTGTTCCTAGGTCTGAGAATGCTCAGCACCGAGTGTGTGGTGAACCCATATGGTCGGGTTGCATTGAACAGCACTGTTGTCATGGTAGCGGCCATGTTGGATTGGACGGTGGATGCGGTGCAGTACTGCTAGCATTGCAGGTTGATTCTCCTCCACAGCACGTGGCCAAGCCTGTTGTGCATGTCAGGGGAGTTAGTTGGCCAGCATGCAGACAATGTACCACAGCAGTACTTAGCATGTTGCAAGCCGCTTTGAAGCCAAGGTGAAACTATTCGGCGTTGCTTGTTCAGCTACTTCAGCCTCAGTCCTAGCTGCCATGTTCGTTCATTATTGTTCCCTTACATTGCGTAACGCTTCTTGTATGTGCTTGCTATGCTTCATGGTGCAGTGGTGGTAAGTTCAGATGCCAAGACAGTGAAGCTGGAAGGCACGGATACATTGGCAGGTAGTTGTGCTTCACTGCTCGAGACATTCAGGAATCTAGTGAATGTTCTGGGAGTATCTGAAGAAGATGCCTCCTCCATGCTGTCCACCACACCGGCAAGGTAATCCTGGACTTACCTGCTCCTGAATTGCTACTGTCTAGAACAGTCCTATTTCTGCATGGGATATTTATTACTGTCATGAAGCTACGTTCGCATACCCCACCAGGCTCGGGAGTTTTCATTTGTGATATTGTCATCAGGGAGGAAGAGGAGACACAGAATATTGTCAGTGTATCTGGCGCATGCACACATTTCTGCGTGGACTTTGACTTTACAGGGGAAGTTAAGGCAAAAATTAAAATTTCACCAGTTGTAGTCTTCGGGGTGCTGAGTCGAATGGTCGTGGTCCGAGGAAGCTGAGACACTCCCTTCCTACTTGAATCCCAATCGAACTCGCGCACTTCCACCGAAACTGGGTGACTGCGCCCTACTAGATGGGGATTTGTATGCAAAATGTCACTAAAAGCGCCATTTCGTTCTTATAAAAGCACGGATGACCGCGATTGGCCCATATGTTGTAGTCATTTGGTCGCTGAGTCGATTGGTTTTGGTCCGAAAAGGCTGCGATGCAGCGTTCCTCCTTTATTCCCAATCGAACATGGTTGAAGAAGCGGTCACGTGCTCCTGCGTACACCAGTCACCTGGTCACCATGCCTGCAGGGTACAACTTACTAGCCTGTTTGACCTTTTTTGGGTGCAGTCCTGTCACTCGAGTTGAACTCGAGTTGAACCTTGGTGTGAAAGTTGTCGCCTGCTGGCGTGGTGACCAGGTGATTTGGGCACCCAGGAGCACGTGACCGCTTGTTCAACCATGTTCGATTGGGAATAAAGGAGGAACGCTGCATCGCAGCCTTTTCGGACCAAAACCAGTCGACTCAGCGTCCAAAAGACTACAACATATGGGCCAATCGCGGTCATCCGTGCTTTTATAAGAACGAAATGGCGCTTTTAGTGACATTTTGCATACAAATCCCCATCTAGTAGGGCGCAGTCACCCAGTTTCGGTGGAAGTGCGCGAGTTCGATTGGGATTCAAGTAGGAAGGGAGCGTCTCAGCTTTCTCGGACCAAGACCATTCGACTCAGCACCCCGAAGACTACAACTGGTGAAATTTTAATTTTTGCCTTAACTTCCCCTTTAAAATGGCATGGCTTAGTGGGTTAGTCATTTTGCATCTAAAATAGCTAGGAAAGCAGCGGTGTTTCAAATATACTTTGAAGTAAGGCCATGGCTTTAAAGCTGCAGACATACAGTAAGAAGAAGGGAACTTCTCAGCTTCCCAGGACCAAGGCCAATCAACTCCACAACCTAAAGACTACGAGCAGTGAAATTTAGATTTTAGATTTTAGGCCATGCTTCCCTTTTCTTTAACTAGTTTTCAAGAAGGTTAGTCCTCACATAGCTCTGGAGTATAGGACCAAATGTGTTAGCAGTTTTAAAATTCTAATATATCTGGACCATCACCCACTGGATCATCTCTTTTTTGTCCAGGATCGTTGGCCTGGAGCACGTGGGAAAAATTGAAGTCGGACGGCGCGCAGATTTTCTATTGCTGGACAAGAACTATGAGCTGAAGCAGACTGTCATTGCCGGAAGGCTGGCTTACACTGCAGCCGCGGCTGAATGATTGAATCCGACCTGCTACATAGACCAAATTGCTGAGTCAATTTTTTTTAATGAACATCACAATTAATGCTGCAACGTTACTCTCACTGACAGTGCCTCCTTGCTACATACATGTATGTTCGTTGATTTCTAGGTAATCTAACTCATTGATCGCCATCATAGTACACCAAATGTGAAAAGATAACACTCCTGTTATCACTATGAGAATGGTTAGTCAACACAGCACCGGCTGATCATAATGAAAAGAGTTCCCAAGATACACTGTAGCGTTCGTTCAGAAAGTGGTGGACATCTCGCAACTGCATTGGAAATAGAAGGGGGGTTGTCAACTGACAACCGCTCGATGTAGTTGCTACTCACTCTTTAGATGAAAATTCTATTAATGATGTCGACAAATTATTGACGTTTCGGGCCAGTCACCCATCGTCAGAACAATGTACAAGTACTGGCTGTGGAAACACAGATAAACAGAAGAAAAATCAGGGAGTCCATCGAGATTCGAGAGCGTCGTCCGGAGATCAATATCTCCTTCGGATGGCCATTGAAGGCGCTAACACCCTCACAGTGAAACTGCTAAATCTTGCTGTGTCTGTACAGGGTTGTACACACAATGATCGTGGTATACACCTTCGTACTCACATTTCCTGCGCTTTATCTGCTGAGCTGGTGCATACCCACTCTTTCAGCGCACTTCTCCTTGTCGGTTGTACATGCAAATTCAGACACTCAATTGCATACGACTATTGTGTGTTCCGTTTGTTTTGTACATGGACACACAATGTCATACGCTCTCGCTTGCTTTCGTTATAAAAGGCCAGGTTCGCTCCTTGTACATTGTTCTGACGATGGGTGACTGGCCCGAAACGTCAAATTTTTTTCGACATCATGAAAATAATTTTCATCTAAATAGTGAATAGCAACTGAATAGAGCGGTTGTCAGTTGACAAACCCCCTTTTATTTAAGATACACTGTAGTTGATGAAAATAGAGATTATCTTGAAGTAAACACGAAGGGTTATTATGGAACGTAACATGTAATCATCAACTTTGAGAAACTGAGATAATGGCTCAGTGTCCTTTTAAACCAGTCACGGAGGGTCCTCATGCTGCAAACTTTCAAGTACAGGTTCCTTGCCGACCCTATGGATTCATAAGTAGATGACACGCGGCCCATGGGGTGTGTCCAGTTTAGCCGCTATCTGAAACATGATGAAATGGATATGTTGTGTTTTCCATTCAAACTTTCCACATGCTAGACCACCTCATTCTTTTTTGGATAAGACTACTCCTACTCCCTCTTATCTTTTTCCATAACTGAATCACTCGCCCATCTCCCGGATTACATTTGCTTACATGTATTTGTCTGCGGATAGCTTCTGTCCATTAAAATATTTTGGTCTGTGGATCGAAATCAATTAATTATTTGAACATGATAAAACTAAAACAGGTATTGCAACTTTGCTGTGGAATGGTTTGTAGTGTCAAAGTTGCAGAAATGTCAATCACATTCTTACTTTCGCTCTTCTGCTTGATGATGTGTACCCTCCGCAATACTCATACATGTACTTGAAGGTTCGTCAGTGCAGTTCCGCGCCCGTTATCTCTCAGATAGATAATGGAAGGCATCATTAGATTCTATTGATACCTACCGGTATGTGGTTTGATCTACACAGTCAATGCTCCGAGTAATCATTCCTGACCGGCATGAAGGGTAAATAGAATAATCAGCCACTGAATTCCCACTTTCAACTACTGGCAAATTCCTTCTCCAGCTATTTTAGGAGGGCAGAATGCAAAATGCCTCATTTCTTGTTGGATGAGAGCAACGAAGTAAACAAGAAAATTAATGCTGTTCTTTTCGAAACACGAGTGCACAGTCCAGAGTTCACGGACTGTGCGGGGAGTGCGGTACGCACTGGCTGCACAGTGCGAAGTTGCAGCATGCACGTGAAGGTGCATGCTGGTCTGAAGACAGTGTTCTTTTTGTTCTTGCACTGCTGCTGTACAGTTGCAAATTTTCGCTGCGTGACCGAGTGTTTTTTTCTTCGTTTCCATACTTAGCGTAATCTGTCTGAAGCGATCATGCCTGGACGTGGACGATCCTCCACCCCAAGAGGTCGGAGCAGGTCCTCCAGGGGAGGTAGTTTGCCTGCCTCGGCAAGCAGACCTGAAACAAGCAGCTCTGACAGTGGAGCCGAACCGAACGCCCAGCTGCAGGAGCAGCAGTTGAGGATCGGCGCCCTAGAATCGGCGCTGGCCAAGGAACGGTCAAGCCGCCGTCGTCGTCGTCGGTCCCCATCGTCGTCGTCATCATCCTCATCATCATTCTCATCTTCCCCCTGTTCGTCTCCGTCGTCATCCCCGTCTTCATCGTCATCTCGCGAGTCTCGCCGTCGTCGCAAAAAATCAAAAAAGGCCAAAAAGTCAAGAAGTCGTTCCGTGTTTCCCCGGTCAACCTCGTCGAGGCGGTGGAAAAAACCCTCGTACGAGAGACAGTACGAGACGAACGCTGCTGTGCTGGAAGAGCTTGGCGAAGTGCGTGCTGCTCTAGGGAAGAGGAAGGTGGACAGGGCAAGGCGAGCCACCAAGCAAGGTGAGAACTTGTTGCGGGATAGGCAAGAGTGGCTGGTTATTGCGGATGCCCATGGGCACGAGGCAGCCGCAAAGTTTGCAGAGGGTGGCGAGATGCTGGGGATTGTCGGGTGCCCGCAGAAAAGGAAGAGGCTAGTGGCAGCCATCCAATCCCCCCCCCCCCCCGCGCCAAAAGCCAAGCAGCCCTTTCTCTCCCGCACTCCGTCCCAGTCGGCCAAGGGGTGGGGTGCCCACAGTACAAACTTGGCCCCAAGCGCCACAACAGCCCGGCAGCCATTTCCCCCCACCAGCGGTGCATGCCACCATTGCGGCGAAACAGGCCACTACATTCGCGTGTGTCCCCGCCGGCAAGCAGCTAGCCAGCCGCGAAATGCCTGAACTCTGTGCAGCTGATGACTACGATATGTCATTTCAAAGCAATGAATTAGATGCTGAAACCTATTCTATGTTGCATAGCGCGGATGGGGAGTTCGGAGGGGACGGGGATAGGGTGGTCATTGGCAGTCTAAAGAAAAACGTGCAGTTCTGGGAAGAAATCGGAGCACCAAAGTTAGTACTTGAAGTAATCAATAATGGATACACGTTGCCGTTTGTTAGATTGCCAAGGCCCAGGTTGTCAGACAACCACAAAAGTACACATGAGTTCCCAGATTTTGTCGGGGAGGCCATTTCAGATATGCTTTCTCGCGGTTGTATTAAAGAGGTTAGCAGAGACCAAGTGTCCGTGTGTAGCCCGTTGGGAGTGGTGGATAATGGGAAGAAGCTGAGGCTTATTCTGGATCTAAGGTACCTCAACAAACACCTGGCTAAATTCAAGTTCAAACTGGAAGATTTGAAGGTGGTGGCAGATGTATATGAGAAGAACGATTTCTTGGTTACATTTGACTTGAAGAGTGGCTACCACCACATTGCTATGGCAGAAAACCACTGGAGGTACCTTGGTTTGAGTTGGGTAACCCCCCAGGGAAAAGCAGCATACTATACGTTCTGCGTCTTGCCGTTTGGGTTGTCAACCGCCCCTTACATTTTTACGAAGGTAACCAGGGTACTATTGTGTCGTTGGAGGGCAATGGGTATACGTTGCCAACTGTACATGGACGACGGGTCGGGAGGACATGCTTCTAAGGCAGGTGCTCACAAGGTAGCAAACCAAATGAAGAAAGATCTCCAAAAGGCAGGATTTGTGGCTAATGAAAAGAAATGCCATTGGGAGCCCTCTCAGTTGGTAGAGATGTTGGGTATGGTGGTTGACCTACGTGATGGAGCTATCAGAGCCTCCGAAAAGCGTGTTAAAAAGCTTAAGTCGATGCTCAGCACAATGTCAGGTAGCTGGCAACCATCAGCTAAGCTGGTAGCAAGGATGACTGGAATGATAATGTCCATGTCGCTGGCCCTGGGCCAGATTTGCAGGCTGAGGACTAGAGCATTCTACCACATGATACTATTGAGGAAGTCATGGGCAGCTCAAACAGTTTGGTCAAAGGAGGCAATTGATGACCTGAAGTTCTGGAAAGAATCTTTTGACAAATTGCACGGCCAGCCCTTCTGGAAGAAGGACCCACGTGTTGCAGTTATCTGTTGGTCAGATGCCAGCGACACTGGCTGGGGAGGTTTCATGGAGGGGAGGTTGGGTGTGCATGTTGCGAAGGGTGAATGGCCAAGTGAAATCAAAGAAAAGAGACTAAGTTCTACTTGGCGTGAGCTTAGGGCTGTTAAGCTTGTTCTGGAGTCATTGGCACCAAAGATTGCTGGGAAGGCTTGCATACATCGCACAGACAACCAAGCAGCGGCACACATTATTGAAAACGGTAGCCGCAAAGAGCATTTACAAGAGGAAGCTATGGCAATACACAAACTGTGCAGGCATTTTAGCGTGAGGATTAGGGCAGAATGGGTACCTCGGGAAGAGAACGAGCTGGCTGATTATTATTCGAAGGTAGTTGACCAAGACGATTGGCAATTGAACCCTGCATTATTCCGGGAAATGGAAGGGAGATGGGGCCCCTACACCCTAGATTGTTTTGCCAGTTTTAAGACTAAGCAGCTCAGTAAGTACTGCTCCCGGTGGTGGAACCCAGAGTGCTTTGCGATTGATGCGTTCACCGTGGATTGGTCCATTGAAAGGGTGTGGATGGTTCCCCCAATCTACCTTATTTCACGGACAATCGATATGCTGCTAGCATGCAGAACCCATGGCACTCTTGTTGTACCAGAGTGGCGGTCAGCCCCATGGTGGCCAAAATTGCAGGACGGTGCTGTGTGGTACGGATTTGTGAAAGAGTGCGTGTGGTTGCCAAAGGATGAGAATACATTCTTGCCGGGGTCATGCCCATGGAATTTATTTGGTTACGGCATGCCGAAGTCCGAGATCATTGCTTTGAAATTGTGCGCAGTTAGTGGCTGCGATTGCTGACAGCATACCTGGCGCGTGTTTGTATGCGGGAGAGCCTGAGTATGTCTGACGGTGCAAGAAATGAGAGCTTGCGGAAGTTTGCCCCCATGCTACAGGTGTGGTTTTACAGGCTACGTTTTATTATTATTATTATTGCAAAGCTTTCCTTTTGATCTTGTCTCTTATTGTTGTGACCTTTCCACAATAATTGTGTTGCATATGCTACAGGTGTGGTAGGGCAAGTGCTATAGGCACACATACAGCTATAAGCTCCCCGGTTAACACGCACAGATGTATCAACTAGAAGTTGCACCCAGAGCACTAGCTTTGCAGAGAGGTGAGTCCATGAGTTAACCCTTTACCTTCTGTGTGTACATGAATCGACCGAATTTGGTCGATGGACATGCATGCACTAAAACATTCGTAACTCGATCTATTCTTGACGGAACCTCAAAAACTAAATATGTAGAAAGAAGCCGAAGAGCCCAGCTGTTCATTGCAACAATCGGCGAAGAGCTGCAATACCGCATTCTAAATATATCGCGCTCGACATTTCAGCCACGGCAAAAGTCGATTTTTTTCTGAGTGACTGGCCTTGAGCTGGGGTTTTTCCCTCTCCTGACATGCTGAGTCACCTGTGCATGTTTTGAGCGCGTGGGAAGCATAAAAAGAAACCCAGGACAACAAATTTGAAATGTTTACGATGAAGGAGTGAGAAATGGCTGACGAGGAGAGAATTTTCTCGGATACCCAGCGATGGGGAGTATTTGAAGCACCCTGGCGTTGGATATGTGATCTCAGTAGTGTCCAGTTTGAGCTCATTGTACGCAGCTCGTGGAGAGCTTTCCAGAATGCCCAAGAGTGTGAAAATCGGTTGATTATAACCAAAGATATTCTCAGAATGAGGTGAGAAATATCGCATTTGGAACTGCCTGGGAATTCAGTCAGAAGGAAAAGGGTTAAAGGGGAACTACACCCAAAAATCAAAACTTCATGGTCCGTAGAGTTTTGGACGCTGAGTCGAATGGTGAAGGTCCCACTTCGATCCGACCAAGCGTTCTTGAGATATATCAGTTTGCAATTGTCCTTTTCGGGTCCGTGCCGTGACGTCACAAACCCGTGACGTCATTGAGACTTGGTGATCCTTTGGCCAGATCCAGAAACACTGGGATTCCGCATCTTCTTTCTGTTTGTCCACGGAAGAAGAGGGTATTTGTGTCATCATGGCTTCTGGCTGTGTTGTTGGCTACTATAATCTTACTGGTAACCCCCCTGGGATGAACCTACACCAATTTCCGAAGGATTGTGCTTGGCACAGGCCGAGCAGTGCACCATAGCAGCTATCAAGCGACATCATTATTTCCTTGACAATTTCGGGACTACAATGTAATTGTAAATCCTTCGCGTGTGTTCCAGCCATTTGGCAGAGGAGGATTTTCAGGAGGAATATTATGCACTCATCCGATGCAGACGCTGGTGGATGAAACTGTGGTGTGTCCTTTTTCGCACGCCACACTGTGAAGCGTCAGTCGAAAAGCAGAGGTGAGTGCAATATTTCAAAAACGCTAGCTACTGTATGTAGTTCTTTCTTTTCCGAAGCATTTGTAGAAGTGTTTTGGACTACATCACTACGAAATGTGAAGCTTTCCGAAACCGGCCTGATGAGGTGGACGGCAGTAGATCTCCTGTTTCCCTAGGCTATACTGCGTGCGATCGATGAACCTGTCTGCGATTGCTGTTCTTGATTTTACAGGAAGAAGATCAAGAGCGGCTGTACCATCGGTCGCAGTGACTCACTGTTGAGCTACGACCACTGCCACCGCCGAAAGGTTATAGGAAGGACTGTTTGCAGCGCCAGCGCCTCTAGCTGGCATGTTTTTTTCCTGTATGAACACACAGTATGTACTGCTGATAAGCAACATCACGCAATGACCTGCAGTTCAAGGAGAGAAGATAGTCCACATACCGGCAACAGTGTACACCTATTCGGGAACTCGTTGCGTTTTCTCAGTATGGATGCAGATGAGAGCCAGACATTACTAGTGTGTGTATGCGTGCACGCGCGTGTGTGTGTGCGCACGTGCGTGAGTGTGCGCGCGCGCACGTGAGTGTGCGTGCACGAGCGTGAGTGTGTGCGTGCGCCCGTGCGTGAGTGTGTGCGTGCGCCCGTGCGTGAGTGTGCGCGCACGTGAGTGTGTTTGCACGCGCGTGAGAGACAGACATTATTATTGTGTGTGTGCGTGCACGCGCGTGAGTGTGTGCGCGCGCACGCGCGTGAGTGTGTGCGCGCACGCGCGTGACACTGAGTGTGTGTGCGCGCGCACGCGCGTGAGTGTGTGTGTGTGCGCGCACGCGCGTGAGTGTGTGTGTGCGCGCACGCGCGTGAGTGTGTGTGTGTGCGCGCACGCACGTGCATGAGTGCGCGCGCACGCACGCGCGTGAGTGCGCGCGCAGGTGCACACGTGCGTGTGCTTTTGTGTAATGTAATATAACATTCCAAAGATATTCACGTCATCTATTCTGTGTTCTCCTTTATGTCATTCTCTCCACCTTGCGGGAGGGACATGGAATGACAAGTAGTAGATGCATTGCCGTTAGTGATCCTGAGGGATGTGTGGGTATGCAACCAAGTGCATGAGTGCGCGCATGTGTGCGTGCACGAGCATGTGCACGGGCACTTGTATGCTTATGCACTCGTGTGCGCACGCGCTTGTGAAATTGCGTGTCTGCGTGCGTGAGCATGTGTGACTACTATACTATGTGCCCACCAAGGTGAGCACATGTGCGTGCGTGTGTGTGGGGCGCGGCGGATATGTGCACACATTTCAGAATGATAATCAAGAAGGACAGAGCTGTTCCGGTAATGCAGTCATGAGACACCACAGTAGGGCAAAACGCACTCAATATGCTACTGTGCTGCTGCTGCTAGAGTGCACAGCGTAATTGTTGGTACACAGCTACGTGAAATACAAGAGAACGTCTCAGCATTCTGTAAAGACTAAGTGATAATGCAAAAGGTGAGAATGTATTTCGCCACACTACGAATTGAGGTGCAGTCCACTTATGTGAGATAAAGCACAAGTGAACCGATACACATTGCACGACTTGCACGGAGATAATGCTAGCCATGTTACGCAGCAAACTCCATGTACAGGAGTACGAGTGAGGAGACTATTGATCTGAGTACTGTGCGAATACAAAATTTCACACAATTTACGATATGAAGAGAACGATTCGATTTGTGAGCATTACGTAGGACTATACTGTGAAAAAACTTACGGATTGTCAGGTTTGTCTGAGCTGCTTTGGCTGCCGCTGCCGCTATTTCGAAATAGCCCAGCCAACCGGTTGCCAGATGTTGCTGATGGAGAGCGACTTCTCCAATTGCAGTCATTTCTGCTGCATCCACATTTACAGCCCGAATGGAAGCCACCGCTTGCGCTGCCATATCCTTTCCTGAAAATTTCGGCTCATGCCCGAAGCCAAACATTTTCAGCTCAGGCTCTGAGCTTTCAAGCTCGTCTGATACGTCGGAATCGCTCATGGTGAGGACGTCTTTGTCAGAACTATTCCTTTCACATACCAAAATACCTGTACTTCTGAGCTTGGCCCAAGCAAGCGAGTCTCAATGACGTAGAAGGGTGTGTTGGGGGTGTGTCGCGGCCGCATGACGTCACGGCGCGTCCCCCGAAAGTACAATTTAAACTGAAGATATCTCAGGAACGCTTGGTCGGATCGAAGTGGGACCTTCACCATTCGACTCAGCGTCCAAAACTCTACGGACCATGAAGTTTTGATTTTTGGGTGTAGTTCCCCTTTAAGTATGCTAGCCAGAATTTAGATAATGCCGTAGGTACGCACGTAATTTTGCACGGGCGGGCGGCCTCCAGGCGCTTTGTTATCATTGTTATGAGAGAGGTGTAGAAGAGCGATTGGAGCACTTGCCCAGGATGTCACCACAGCTATGATGACAGTCAATGTTGAAGTGTCGTTGTGTTCGTTTTCATGTTCGTCACCGTGGTCTGGGCCCCCACACATGAAATTTAATTATTCTGTCGATGGTTCGATGCGACATAAAGCGTTTGTTTGCATTATTTCTGGGTGGGGTGTATGTTGTGAGTGGTGCATGCGGTCAGGTACGGAGTTGTGCTACAGGCATACATGGACACTACAGGTGTCAACCCGAGCAGCAGGCATGATAAGGGTGAAAGCTACAGGCTTACAATTATGACTCAAGGTGCTGCGGCAGAGCCATCCGAGAGCGGACGCTACAAGCAATCGAGCTAAGGAGGAGGAGGCAGCCAGCGGTGCAGACGTGATCATGCTGTTCTCCGACTGTGTGCTACAGGCAAGTCAAGTCAACAGCCAGAACGCATGTCTCAGGAAATGACGCAACTTGCTTCCCATTTGCCAAGTGTTCTCGCCAGAGCAAGGGCGCCGGCAACATTGAAAAAGTATGCAGCCTGCTTCCAGCGCGGGAGGACGTGGGCGGTCAATCAGGGTGTCGCAGCTGTCGGTGCAGACTCCTTCCACGTGGCGTTGTACTTAGTAAAGCTGATCAACGAAGCAAGGACGGCTGCGCCGATTACGTCGGCTGTATGCAGTATCAGTTGGATGCACAAGTCACACGGTCTCGCGGATCCATGTGCCAATGATGTCGTGGCTAATGTTCATCAGGCTGCAAAACGTATTCTAGCCTGCCCGAAGAACAGAAAACAGCCACTGAGCAAGAGTGTTCTCAGGAAGCTGTCCAAGGAGTATCGACGGTCAGAATCTCTCCAAGACTTGCAAGTAATGACGTTGTTAGCAATTGGCTTTGCCGGATTGCTCCGTTGGAATGACTTAACACAGCTGCGGGTTGACGAAGTGCTGATCAAGAACCAGTATGCGGCCGTCTTTCTTGAGGTCAGAAAGAATGATCAGCTTCGCCATGGCAATTGGATATTCATCGCACTTTCCAAGGGTGAGGCATGTCCTGTACACCTCTTGGAAGAGCTGGTCGCTAGAGGTGGACACCTACAGCAGTCACCTTTATTTGGCAAAATCTCACAGCATCGAGGCAAGAAGGTGATCCGTGGTCAGATGTCCTATTCCAGAGCAAGGGAGTTAGTTCGCTGTGCAGTATCGAGAGTCGGCGAAGATCCGAATGTTTACGGCCTGCATAGTTTACGTTCCGGAGGTGCCACAGCGGCAGCAGCTGCCGGCATCCCGGACAGGCTAATCCAGAGGCAAGGCGGCTGGAGAAGCGAAAAGTCAATGAGAATGTATTTCAGTGAGTCTCTGCCTAACATGCTGAGAGTGTCTCGCTGCTTGGCAGTCTAAATGCCGCCAGCTATGCTTTGTGCCTCTTGGAGCAGCTGTTGCTGCGACCCTGCAGTTCTATTGTTGTTTTTGTGGTGTGTACGAGAGAGTCGAGAAGAAATGCCTCATTTCTTGTTGGATGAGAGCAACGAAGTAAACAAGAAATGCTGTTCTTTTCGAAACACGAGTGCACAGTCCAGAGTTCACGGACTGTGCGGGGAGTGCGGTACGCACTGGCTGCACAGTGCGAAGTTGCAGCATGCACGTGAAGGTGCATGCTGGTCTGAAGACAGTGTTCTTTTTGTTCTTGCACTGCTGCTGTACAGTTGCAAATCCCACCCGCCCACCCAATTAGATATTCATTGCTAGATATGTATGTGCATACGGATTTATTGGCTGAATAAGCAGTAGTGCGTGTATGTCGCGAGCATGTTTCCGCGCGCGCGCGTGTGTGTGCGTGAGGCCAATTTCAGATAATTCTGTATTGAGGTAGCACATTGGCTTTGGACTGGCCCATTTGGGGTTATTCAGCATCTCCACTATTGTCGCTGGCGGCAATTCCCAATAATCAGTGCACTGAGCCGCGGTGAACGCAATTCTATCGGAAGTTCATGTATCCAGCGTACCATGGCTTGGATCGCTTGCTGTCTTGCGTTGTTTTCTTTTTGTTATGCTAAAGCGATGTGCACCAGGCTGCCGTAATTATGTTTAAATGCTTGTCTATGACTGTGGCATAGTTATATTAATACACATGCGGTGCAAGAATTGGAGCAGCTTTTGCTGCGACCCTGTTGGAGCAGCTGTTGCTGCAACCCTGCAGTTCTATTGTTGTTTTTGTGGTGTGTACGAGAGAGTCGAAAAGAATGTTTACTTCCGTTTGATTATGATTTTGAAACGTCAACCAATCCCTTCCCATGGCTTTCTTCAATGTTTGCAATGTCATGTGCCTTTGGCAGTCATGCAATGAAACGATGGGTTGCGGAGAGGGAAGGAGGGAGGGGGGGGGGGTTGAGAAGGAGAGAGATAAAAGAGATGTATGGACGGAAACATAAGCAGACGTTTGCCGAAAGGATGTTTTCAAGTGGGGTAAAATCCCTCCATTTGGATGTGTGCACGTTAAAATTGCACAGGTTTGAGCGATACAGTGAGCATTTTGCAGTCTGCAGCTGGAGCCTGAATCACCAACTTGTTCACACCCTTGGTTGATTCCTGGGGAGGTGCCAGGTCAATTGGAGCATAGGAAAACGTTGTGCCCGAACAAATGGTATGATCTGATCCATTGACAATGGAAACTTGCAACCTGTCTGGTCCATAGCTAAGCTGTGCTGTCGTCGAGGGATTTTGAATGGTGATGTTAGCATACGTATGCAAGGCCCAGGTAAGTGTGCTGGCTTTGCTCTCTCCATAGCCAATGCGGTCATAGATCTGTAGTTCTTTGGTGACGTAATCAAGTGAAAACTGGCGGTAAACATACGATATGTTGCTAGGTGTGTAAGCTGAGGTGAGGTTTGTGTCGATGGACATGTAGCCTACGTCACTAGTTCCATGACAGTTTATGGCTGCTGTCAGCGATGCGTTAGCATCAGTTGCTTGATTGTCTTCGTTAAAGGTCAGCGTGTTGTGACCGATATTGCGGAGACGGTAGTAGGTGAAGCGCTTGGATCCAAAATACTCGGGCAGAGCGTAGCTGTCTGCACCGAGGTCGATAGCCCAGCGGTGTCCAGTTGCTTCATAGACGAAGCTACCGACATCCAAATGTCCATGTGGATCACCCTCGTGTGTCAAGCCGGCCTTGATGCCTAGCCAAGCTGCTCCATAGTCAGACCAGGATGAGCGTGCAATGGCTACATTTTGTCGGGGAAACATCATGCATCGAGGCAGCTTTGCGAGATCCTCAAAACTTCCCGCAGGTGTGTAAGCAATCAGATCCTCGGGGGTTGCGTCCCCAGATCTTTGCAACTTGAGGCGCTGAAGATATGCTGCAGCCGGGATGTTAAATCTAGTTGCTAGGTGGTAGAGACTCGGAGTGTCCGTGGGTCCCTCGGTTATTGTATAGCGTCCTGCATCGGCATAGTTGAAGAACTGGAGTGAGGGGGCTGTAGCATGGACAACGAATAGCGCTGTTGAGTTGAAACCAGGCCACGAGCTGAGACCGTTGTCCCCGCCGGTAGCTGTCTCAAGCGAGCTGATAGCAAAGATAGTGTAACGTGTGGCGTAGGCCCAGTACCCAACTCCCTGAACAACAGGAGAGAGAGAGAGAGAGAGAGAGAGAGAGAGAGAGAGAGAGAGAGAGAGAGAGAGAGAGAGAGAGAGAGAGAGAGAGAGAGAGAGACAGCATGCAAGCAAGACACGCTGTGTGAGTGGTCAGAAAAATGAGAAAGTACAATCCAGTAAAACCTCGACATGGACATGATCTTTTGCTGTGAAGTGTGTGCTGAGCTGACCTCAGTAGACATAATGACTAGAAGCCAATCTGGTGAGTCAGTACAAAAGACAAACCAAACTACTTCAGTATCAGCAGTGGGAAATTCACGAGCTCAAACGTGGACTAAGCCACTTCATTTTACTGTGAAGTGGCTTAGTCCACATTTGCTGTAAAGTGGCTTAGTCCACATTTGCTGTGAAGTGGCTTAGTCCACATTTGCTATGAAGTGGCTTAGTCCACGTTTGAGCTCGTGAATTTCCCACTGCTGATACTGAAGTAGTTTGGTGCGTCTTTTTTACTGACTCACGGCCGACCAGATTGGCTTCTAGTCATTATGTCTACTGAGGTCAGCACACTACTGGTACCTTGCTGAGGTCAGCTCAGCACACTACTGGTACCTTGCTTAGAAGGACTTCAATGTGTAGCCACATAACTGCATGTGCAGCTCACAAGTGGAGAATTGACCATACGATGTGCACTGTGTGTATAGTGTACCTGATAATACAACCCACGGTAAGGATTGAATGAACCATCTCGTCCCCCTCGCCTTCTCCAAGCACAAACTATAAGTGAGTCCAGATGGTGGCATGACTGAGAATATACATCCTTGTACGTAGAAAAGGTCATGTACACCCATTAGAGGCTTTGTTTTGAGTGTCAATTGGACACATATGCTGTTCTAAGCCACTCGGTTGATCAGTTTGTGTTTTCGTTGCATTGCATTTTTACTTGGGCTATCCGAACAGACCCTAAGATCTTCTTGCAGGGTGCCCAAGGAATTTCTTGAGAACATGGCGAAAACAGTTCGGAGTATGAAGTACAGTCATGTGGGGCAGAGGAATTCGGGGACTGCACCAAGGACGTGTACTTTTTTTTATAATAATAATAATACCACAGCACGCGTAATAATATAATTATGTTGGTATAATTATACGTTCCGCTTCTGTCCTATCTCCTATAATCAAATTCCATTATCAAGATAATTATTAATACGGTGCACTGATGACCTGTGACGCCAGATCATGGATTGTCGGCCAGATTTCTCCATGTAGGCTTGTCCAGAGCGATGGCCCTCACATTCTGCAGCTGATTGCTGCGCTTCAAGTCGATGTTCCTTCTCTGTAAGTCGCTTGTGATGCGCGTCGCAATGGATGTCCTTGGACGTCCACGCCCAGCCTTGCTGTTGACTTTTTTTATAAGGCCATGGTAAAAATTATCTTTGATTCTCAAGTACGCGCGCACCGATTTCTGGCGGCGCACCGACGATTTTCTTAAATTCTATGCATGCATATGCGCGCATTGGCCGGCCGCCAGCCATGCATGGTGTACATGATTGTACAAATACGGCTGCACTGTACGGTATGCTTTCCAACGGCCAAAGAGAGTTGGAAAGCTTGTGTCTTTGTGGGTAACTTGAACATTTGGGGCTCATGTAAAATCGCACTGATTTTGGGATTTCCTTGCAATTTTTGCTTCAGCAAAAATGTTGTGCTTGACCGCATTCCTGTCACTTCGCAGTGGCTTTTCGTTGGTGCAGTTTGTATCCCACCCTCCCACCCCTGACTTCTGGGTGTGTGTTTATCGATATTATCTTATTGGCCATGTGGCTGTGGCAGTTACGACTGCTTTTCTTTTTTAGTTGAAAAAAAAACAACAAAAACCTAGGGGTGGTGTGTGCGTCGCGGGCCTTTGTATGGTTACGTACAGCTTCAGATTGTATGGCTAGTGCCAGGGGAGTTCAATTGAATCTGCATGGGAAGAATACTACTGTATTGTGATTGAACTGAAGCTGGATGATGACCGTGTGGTGAGTGTGTGGGTTTTTTCAAGATACCGTCCTGGGGCAGGGATGTAGGTCCTTTAGCTTGGACGGGTGTTGTTACATTCATTGTAACATCTTGTCGTTTTCTGTGTGCTTAGCTGTGCGACTAGCAGCAGTATCTTGTGTTTATTTTCTTATCTCTATGCATCCAATTATTTAAAAAAAAAAGAATCAGGAAGAGGATAATATCAATAAATAAAGCCATTGCCGAGCCACCGTGGACCACAAAGACAGTCCTGGCATGCTGTGTACTAGTACACACTGCACTGTGCAGTCCTGGCATGCTGTGTACTAGTACACACTGCACTGTTTGTATACAGATACATGTACATGGCAGTGCTAGTGAGACTCGACGTGTGCATGAATCAGGGAGTAGTAAAATACCGGTATTTTTCTACTCCCTGGCCTGAATATGAACATATGACCATCCACGTGTGACCCTATCTTTGGAAATAAAAAATTGTGGAAAATAAAAAAATCGCTCGCTCGCATCGATTTTCGCAGGCTCATGACCTGAGAATCAACTTATATTTTCGTGCGTTTGCTCTTGTTCTGCGCAACTCCATTGAACCTGCCATCGTGGTCTTTGTTTTTCTTCGTGGTAGTTGAAGTTGCCCACCCACCCACCCTGGTTTCATGGGGGTCTTCCGCTGTTCTTATTGATATTCTATGCCAATGTGTGTGGCTTATGATAATGACATACACCGGTTATTACATACCATTTCTTGCTGTCTCTATTCTTGGGTCCGACTGGCAGCGGGGCAGGAATTAATGAAATAAAAAGGTTTTTTGGCCGAAAGGCGTGTTTTTCCTCTAGCCGGGTTGAGCGGTCACGGCTAGGAAGTAGGGAGTCATTATTTTCAGGCGCTCCGCTGCTGCCCAGTCACCCATGCTCACCACTGGCCATGCCGTTTCATTTGATTTTACGGCCTTTTCTCCTGCTTGCTGGCAGTTCTTTGATGGATTTAGATGTTTTCGGCTATTCATCTATTATGTGGCTGCGAGTGTGGTTTTTTGCTTCTTCTCATTTCTGGAAAACCACTACGGTGGTGAGTGTGATTGCTCTGTTAGACCACTACCCCATGTACTGAACAGTTGCTTTGTGAGTGAAACACATTTCCTTTGGATACAGAACACGACTCAGTCCAGAAGAGAAACAAAAGAGCAAACCCTTACCTCTGGCCATGCGCCCAGGGGACCGTAGGACTCCATGGCTGTGGGCAGGGCCTTCAATGCATGTTGACCTACAGACTGTGCGCTTGGGCAGTTCTTGCTATCCGCAACAGCTAGCATGCCGACTATCATGCCACCATTGCAGACATTGTTCCAGTTATCAGGATACACGCTCCAGAATGCCTTGTCTTTGTAGCCTTTCAGAGCCGGCTGAAATCCTTTCACCTCCAGGGCCTGTTCCAGGAGACTTCCCTGCTCCTCGGTCAGGTCATTGTAAAACCAGTCATAGCCGATAGCCACCGTATGCGTCATTTCAGCCACGTCCAGAAAATGTGATGGATTCCAGTCACTGAAGTTCACGGCAGCATGCAGCTCTTTCCAGCCGCGCTGCAGCCACGTCTGATTGGCGGGCTGAGAGAGGCGATAGAGCAGACCCATCGTGTACACCCGGTCCAAGGCCACGCGAACGGTGGTCAAAATTCCTGAAGGACCGGGGGGCGGTCGAACTACCGGTGGCGCCTTCAAGATCTCCTCACCGTGTTCCACGATCTTCTCGTGGAACATCTGAGCAACAAAATCCGTCTTGATATACTCTCTTATCCTATCTAAGTCCTTGTCCAGTACTCTCAACCGTGGGTGAGCAACTAGAGCATTCTCCAGTCTACGACCTTCACCTTCCTCGATCAGAGAGAGTAGATGTTCAATGTAGCCAACTGACCCCATTTCATTGCCTTGCCTCATCAAACTGGCAACACTTCCTTGCCACAAGGCTAGCATCAGTAGAATGTTCGCTACACAATTCATTGTGCTGAATCCTACCCGATCAACTGCTACTGTTTACCTACTGTGAAACGATTCCACAAGTGACTGAGAACAGAGAAATCCCGGAGCGAGACGGGAGACTCGCTACACGCTTGGAATACGAGATTCCGAGGCCAAATAGCGTTTCAGCTGAAAACAACGATAATGCTTTCCTATCCATTGCGCAGTTCTGGCCTGTTTGCTTGCCACGTGATGTAGACAGTAATAGTGACAGGAAAATAATTATTATGCTAGCTGCATTCTGCGCTCACCATGCCGACTCAGCGAAAGCAACCAGGTGTGATTTACGATTTTGTTTTGTTTGAATGGGGTGCGACCATACAGCTGGATACAATAAAGTACACAACGCCTCAAGTGTCTGGGCGAGTGAATGTTACAAGGGAGATCATGCAAGAGGACAATATCACGTGTCAGACTAATATCTGGAGTAGTGCATACGTTTTGAAGCAGAGGACTGAAGATGGCCATTACAGTGTATACGTACGAGCCTCCACAGAAGAGAAGAATTAGGGATCCATGTTTCATCAATGCGACGCAACCGAATGGAGGATAGGTCCGAAGTACAGGCAAATTTTCGTGCATGGAGAGAAAAAAGTAACCATGTTTACCATTAATACACGTGTAGCACTGTGGAAGGTGCAGGATCTGATGGACAGCACTCAAAAGTCTCATACACACACACACACTCGCTCTCTCTCGCTCTCTCTCTCTCTCTCTCTCTCTCTCTCTCCCTCCCTCCCTCCCTCCCTCCCTTCCTCTTGTAGGCGCTCAATTGGGTTCAACTTAGCTCCGTCAAGTTGTGGCGAAGGTCAGGTTGTGGCCCAGCATACGTGTCGCAGCATCGTGTAAACACCGTGATCAGTGAGTGATCACTGGAATGACAGCATGCAAAGATGAGAAATGGCCTAAATTTGCTGCTTACAATCGCCCCTGTCACATCGTTCGACTCTCCGGGATCTCTCTCTCTCCCCCCCCCCCCCCCCTCATGGAAAAGACTAGTACAGTGTTTGTTCACCTGTCTTTTGCGCTGCTTCTTGCAGCCATCATACCAGACCGTGCTTTTCTCAGACCTTTCAGTGGTTCACGTTGACCCGGCTTTATGTACTGTATCAATGTCATTTCCACTTGTCAGTACTGTACTCATGGTACTTGAAGTACTACTCAATCTGCGGACAGAACTGTTTACTTGAAGTACTAAACTGTAACTGTTACACGTTCGTAGCAGCTTTTGAGTTGTTGCACGATCTGAATCACCGATATCTAGGTTATAATAATGTACTCCTGGTTTTGGACAACACTATTCTTGAGTCTCCGCCCGAATCTAAAAGATTAAAAGTCGAGTAAAAGTACAATGAAAAGGAGGAATGTCGACGAGCAAAGAATGTTATGATGATACATAAAACTCGTCCGTGAATATTCGGCCTCAAAGTAATACAAGGAGACGCGGCGAACAGGAACACCCTATCAGTATCCATGCCTATTCCTCGCGCCTAGCACGTAATCCTTGCCTGTAATCACAAATACAATGTTTATGATTGTAGACCCGTGTACATGTACATGTAGATCTACCTACGCCGCTACGGTCCTTGTATTATGACATGGCCTCGACCGCAAGCAGGAAAACTATTAGCTAGGCAAAATGGCCTGTCAACTCTTTTCCTGGTACTGGTTCCTGGTTGTCAGACGTTCGAACAACGATCCTAGAGTACAGCTACAGCTACAGGTAGGTAGACAAGCTATGGAGAGATCCGTACTTGCAGGTGGCGCTTGATATCCCCATCGTTATGTACATCTAGCACGGTACCAAGTTTCGATGAAACGTAGCCTTTCTGATATGAATAGTAGCCGCAAATTTCGGATGATCGGCATAAAGCTTTGTTCGTTTTGGAGAAAGAGCAAGAGAAACCTCCTTTCGAGTCTTGTTGAGAAAGACGGGGTTGCAGTGAACCGAATGAATATCTGTCTTTGGTCCGAGTTGACTGTCTTTCAATCGCTACCTATTCTGGAGCCTACTACTAGTCTAGGCTGTGAGTACGGCGGATTCACAGCTCATGGTGTGTTCGAAGGCCACGGAATCCAACTCTTTATTTTGTTTCCTGCCCTATTTCCTGCTCCTTTTTTCATAGGCTTGCGCGAAGGAACATCTGCTGGACGATTATCTGCAACGTTCTGAGAATTTCTAGATCCTTTTCTTCTGGTAGGTAGCTAAATAGTTTACTCAGAGAGCCGCGCTCTACTGTGAATTCGACAGAATTCGTCGGCTCCGACCTCGTTGACCTCAATCCTCATCGACTTCTTTTTTCATTTTATCGTAGAACGTTCAAGAAGAGCAGCAACGTGTTGGTCGATTTGGCAGGGAACCAGTAGACGTGGAATATCTTCTACATGCATGGCATGTTCAGAGCCCTCGGTTCTACCAACAAAAGCTAGCTCGAATAGAAGACAGGTAAGCAGATCGGTTATTGGTTTCTTAGCGCACATAGTGCAAATGCTGCGTAGTAGATTTACGGTTGTTTTTGGTAGTCACCTACCGCTGAATTAAAGGGGAAGTGCATCGATTTTTCAAGTAGGGCTCAGATGAAAGACAATTGGTTATCGGTTCCGATGGTATATCTCTCGCTTGCGTACGGCAAGGGAAACTTGCCATATCGCCGATTTCCCGATCCCGTTTCCATGGCGACTACAGGTGATGACGCACATTCTGCTTAGCTCCGTGAGAGAGAAGGTCGATCACTGCAGAATTTTGTCATTTTCAGTTGTCTTCTTGTATTCACGAAGTGAAAGAAGTACTGTGTTCAATGCTGTTAGTGCCGTGAACTGTTTATTAGTAGTCCTCTCCGTTGTGTACTGGGACGTGACACCGACAGGGGAAAGCTGGAGTGCGGAGACGTTAGCTGGCAAGCGAAAATCGTGACGAACCAAGTGCTGAAATCTTGGTTGGGACAAATCAAACGTTCAGCATTTACCTCAACCAAGGACCATGCCGTTTGCTCTTTCCACTTCCTGAAGATGGATGCGCTGCCTGCTGGAGACTCTCCTATCTCTCGTAACATCTTCTGAAGCCAGGTGAGACGACGAGTAGCGGAGATTAGCGAACGAAATAATGTCGTATGTTTTGAAATTTTTGCTGAACATATCTCAGGAGAGATGGCATGTATGAACTTAGTCCATGTGAACTCAATCAGCTCATGAACTAACCCATGAACAAATGCTTTCCTTGCAGACGTGCATGTGTCTATCCAATCTACACGTAGAGATCATTCCATGCCCTCAGTGAATGGCCTATTTATATATTATTTGTCCATACACTTCATCTGGATGTTGTCTCTATGGAGAAGGGTGTTGTTCATTTCATATGAAGAAGTTCGGGCAATAGATGCTTTCCTCTGGTACAATTCTGTTGACCTGATGTTCTTTCTAGCTTCATGGGTAGCTTAGGTGAGGTACCATCACCATCATGTTTACATGAGGGTCGAACACTGCACCGTTCTTTGTTGTGACATGACGTAAGTTATTGTAAGTGCTCGCAGACTCCATACGTTCCAGCAACACCTAGCATGGTTTCCCGTGAACGTTGTGGGTGAACAAATTCCTGTCCAACATATTTATACAGACATGCCAGCACACACCATGCACCATACACCATACACACACTTGCACTGCCCTGTCGAGTCACTGCCACGTGGGCCCGGAGGGGCAGTGGAGAGAGAATGGGAGAACGCCGCCCCATGGCACCCGGGACACAAAAACAAGAGTTTGTCTATGTAGGGAGCAACACACATACATACATACATACATACACACACACACACACACACACACACACACACACACACACACAAAATGAAAGTTCGGGTCATCTGCCACGAGACTGACGTACGGCCGCGGAGAGCTTCAGCAGCGGTGTCTATTCCTGCCCTGGACCGAACGGAAGCAGCGGTCGCAGGACACACAGTATTCACCACAACACGGCTCCACTGTCGTTGGGGGCTGAGCCACACACTTGTGACGGGCAAGAACGCCATAGCTAAGAAAGCAACGGCCACAGCGATCACACTGGCATGCTCCACGCTGCTCCTGCACACACTCTCTCTCGCTCACACACACACACACACGTGCGCACATACTGCAAGAAAGAATGAGAGCATGAGTGTCAGATTCTTGCATAGGAAGTGTTTATCAGCACACACTTATACATGCATATGCAGGCACTCAACGACCAACTATGCACCATGTCGTATGTTCGTCAAACATAAGATTGCAATACCAAAGAACAACATAAACAAGATCACTTACTTCGTTCTCCTCCAAGTGTGTCCTCCCCAGCCAGGCCGTCTCCTGCATTTCCCTAGGCGGAATGTAGCCTACGAAATGGTTTCTCTAGACTAGGAGAAGATGCTTGGTATTCGCCATCTCTCCTGAGAAATGTTCAGCAAAAATTTCAAAACATACGACATTATTTCGTTCGCTAATCTCCGCTACTCGTCGTCTCACCTGGCTTCAGAAGATGTTACGAGAGATAGGAGAGTCTCCAGCAGGCAGCGCATCCATCTTCAGGAAGTGGAAAGAGCAAACGGCATGGTCCTTGGTTGAGGTAAATGCTGAACGTTTGATTTGTCCCAACCAAGATTTCAGCACTTGGTTCGTCACGATTTTCGCTTGCCAGCTAACGTCTCCGCACTCCAGCTTTCCCCTGTCGGTGTCACGTCCCAGTACACAACGGAGAGGACTACTAATAAACAGTTCACGGCACTAACAGCATTGAACACAGTACTTCTTTCACTTCGTGAATACAAGAAGACAACTGAAAATGACAAAATTCTGCAGTGATCGACCTTCTCTCTCACGGAGCTAAGCAGAATGTGCGTCATCACCTGTAGTCGCCATGGAAACGGGATCGGGAAATCGGCGATATGGCAAGTTTCCCTTGCCGTACGCAAGCGAGAGATATACCATCGGAACCGATATCCAATTGTCTTTCATCTGAGCCCTACTTGAAAAATCGATGCACTTCCCCTTTAACTGTTCAAGTTTCGTTCATGCAGTTTACAGTCGTGAGCGATTGACCCCCAGATCGCCAACGCTGCTTCGTACCTTATGCATGATTGTGGTATGGAATAACCACTGAATCGCCTAAGGATTGCTTCTTGATGATTTCCTGGAGTGAAGCTTTCAGAGGATGAAAAGCGCCCGTAGGACTGCAACAAGCGAGTGGCAGTTGTCTACTTGGCAGCCATCTTGAACTACAGTAAAACCTGGTTTAAGCGACCACCCCACTGTGCAAGCAAAAGCAGTCGTTAAAGCCAGGTGGTCTTTAGAGCCAGGTCTCATACATTCGTGGCATATCGGATCGTGTACATACAAGTGCATGATTGTCCTTCCATGTACTCATATTGACAGGTCTGGAGCATAGAATACTTTCGTGCAAGCGAAGCAAGCCTCACTCAACTTCTCAAGTGCATGCAACGCTAGCGCATCCTGCACTGTCACTTGTCACTTCTGTTGACTGCATGCACTTGCTTCAGAGCGCATTTCAAGCCTGTTTCTCTGCCAGTCAAGATGGCACTTTTGGCTAGTTTTGCTTGCTGTGTGCAGGTCCATATGGCACTTGGTGCACTAAAAGTCGGTCACTGGTCGCGCAAGGCAGGTGGTCGCTATGTCCGGTGCAGTTGCTGTGTAGAATTGTCCGTGCATGGAAAAACGGTGGCTAAACCAGAGATCGCTTACACCAGGTTTTACTGTACTGTCAAACAATGACAAACCTTTCTCGAGAGTTTGGGATATTATTCATTTCAAAACGAATTTCAAGTAAGAAATCAGCACACAAGTGATACTGATATTCAAGGACCTGATGAAGATCGATCACATCTTTAATGTTCTAGCCAACAGCCTTCCAACTTCGAAGGTTTCAAGGTTTTGAAATAATGTTAGTGAGGGGAAGATGAGCGTAATCAAGACAGAAACAAGCTAAACATTACAGCCAATTAAGAATTTTGGCTATGCCATAATTATAAAAAAACAAAAATTAGAGTAGGATGAAAATGCGTTTTTACTGCGAGTTTCATGCACTATTAAAGTGATCATCAGAAAACACTTTTTTTCATCCTCTTATTGTTTAAACCAGCTCTGCCTTTCGGTATTGAGCACTCGATTAGAAAACCTGAAACCTCTCTGTTTTATGCCATATACAGTCAACTTCGTGTATAACGACACTCGGCGGGGCATCAGAACAGTGTCCTTTTCCGCGAAGTGTCCTTATACCCGAAGTCTCATTATATGTATCAGAGTGGGATGGGAATTTGCTCTGGGCATGGAAATTCTATCGTTATTCGCAAATTGTCGTTATATCCGCAGTCGTTTTTAGCGAAGTTGACTGTATTATATCCATGTCCTTGTTTGAATCCACACAACATTGATTCTTTATAGCGAACTGTTTTCGCGTATAACGAACCATATCGTGCAGGGCCGCATTTAAACTAAGTGTGACCATACTGTCATGGGTCATATGCCAGTCATGACGTGTTGCTTGTAAGGTGTGAGAGCATTTCCGTTATAAAGACTTTTGACTGTAGAACCAATTCTCCTGCACAAAAAGATACTCTTTCTGACTTCTTATAATCAGCAAATGGCGAGGGCACAGGAGGAGAAAGGAAATGCAAGACTAAACAAATGGCGACGGAAAAAGACGCCAAGAAAAAACAAAGAACAAGCAGTGATAACGCGACGACAAATCGTGACGACCAATCAGGGACCAATACATACAGAATACATGACCAAGACCAAGACAACCAGACCACGGACGAATCACACATGACTCTCTTTTCCAGACCAAACTAGCACTGCGCATGTAGAGCATTCACTTGACAGTCACTCTCACACAGACGGAAGCAGATTCTCACACTCTGACACGGCGTACTCTTGCATGCACCACATACCATAAACGTCACACATCACACCATACTCGCACGTACCTTAGACCAGGGTGGGAGTCTGGATAAATTCAGATCAAGTCACTATCGGCAGAGCTCTTTCGTCCTGACTCGAGTTGATCCAGGGCATTTCAGTTTGTGACCCTCTGTTGCCTTCGCCTCACTAGTTTCTCCTCGTTGAGTATTTCCCCTGAGCGGAGCTGTACTAAAATCAGAAGGGCCCTACGAGGATTTCCAGATGCCAGAAAGTACGTTACCAGCAGAGAGCTTCTTTTGCGGAGCGCCTAAATCAAGTTGAAATTCTCGTCGCTAAAAGGAATTGGGTGTCGACAAAAACATCTTATGAAAACTGTTGTCGTTCTCCACCAGACGCGACGATTCCTGCCTAGGCAGTCCAATCACTTCTGGCAGAGCTGGACGGCAGTTGGCTATCGTGAGCGAACGCTCCTACTAGGATGATCAAAAGCATTCATTGTCACAATGAACTAATTCTTGTTAAGATGTGCACAGCGAAGCA